TTCTTCCTTTCCTCTTATTTCATGACGAATTGCTTGTGGCACAATCGCAGAGGATGCGTTAACTCAAACTACTTATTACGGACAACACCTTTGTACTCATCTGTAACTTCAATCTGTAGTCTACAATAATATCAAGAAAAAACACTTGAAAATTAATTACTCACAGGTTTGATTATACACGCGCCTTTAGTTTCTGTCTTCTTAAAAAACAGCTCGTAAAATCCAGGTATATTTTCTTTAAGAGTCGTGCATGCCTTGTCTTTAACATGCATGACAAAGGAGTTTTCCTTCCATTGGTTATTTGACCAAACAGCCATCATAATTTTTAGCTAATACAACAAAGGTGGTAAACATAAATGAAATCGTTTTCACAATATCCCGCCTTTTATCAAGAATAACAACCTATTTTAGGTACTCTGGAACATCTATAACTAACCCATACGCTATCATCAACGGGTAGATTCACACCCGTTATGTTACCAGTTAGTAGTTGTAGTTCTGTTGGTTTTTGTGGATTAAAGTGACTGGCACGCATGAACCATCTCCACGAAAGCGGCCGGTCGGGTTCCTCACACATGTAAAAGCGTTCGGTGAAGCCAATCCATGGGCCCTGTACACCGGGAGAGACGCGAAACAACCGTTCACCACAGATCAAACAAGGAAAATGTTGCGGCCATGGCACTGTTGACATCGCACTTCAGAACTACCCAATAAAGGTGTTCCCAAGCCTACCGCGAAAGAGTGGAAGGACTTGCCGAGGACTCCTGCTAGGCGAGCGAGAAGCGTCACCAGGACGAACAGCAGCCTGGACCACCGGAGGTCCATGGTAGTGGACTGGAGGTCTTGTCCTCAGCCCGCTCCTAACTCTTGGTATTAGCTCGAACCTTTGCTATGGCCCATGCACTGTGGGAGTTGTTGGAGTGAGCAGCCAGCACTGGTGCAGCTGGTGCCTGGCGTGCAAGTACAGGATCGGAACAGGGTCTTTTTTGTCTTTTTCCTCGCGTGAGGTT